TAACCTTTCATTAATGAACAAAATCCTCTGATTTCATACAAGAAAGCAACAAAGTATATATGAGGAGGTGCTGAAAAGTTTTTTACATAGCCCATTTTCTAAAACCATAAGTCAGAATTATTTTTTAAATCCCTTTTTGGTGTGAACCCTCTTTTATACAATATTGGCCACTGTGAACTGCTTGAGGGTTGCCCAGAGGAGCCTTTTAAGCATCAGGGTGGATACATGGCTCAGCACTTTTGTCATGTTTTTGCTTTAACTAAAACATTCATGGTTGGTTCCAACATATAAATTTTGGTGGGGAGCAGGGTTTTGCTTTGTGGGCCAACTATGAACATTGCTCAGAGAGTGACCTTTTTTATTTTGCTTTCATAATGTTTAGATCTGGTCGACAATTTTTTATGTGGAGTGAATCAGAGCATAACAGAATCAATAACTCACCCACAGGGGAAATAGATTCATTTGGCTCCTGTGTTTTTGTCAGAATCTTAATCATGTTACATCATACATTCTGGTTGTTAACATTTCAGATCTGTGCCCTGAATTTCAGACAAGTTATTTGGTAAATGTCCTGCTGTGGCTAAATTTCTGAGTGAAACTGTTGTCTCTGTGCCATTACAAAGATGAATATAGATATAAAGAGATTAAGAATTTCCACTTTTTCAACAATTGGGCTGTAATTTTTTTTCTGCCACTAAGCTTCAAATAAACAGCTTCAGGTGAGAAAATCTAGATTGGATTAGAGCATTCACTAGTCAATTGACGTTAGAAATTAAATAATTATTTAGAGTTGAATCAGCAAGAAATGTAAAGTTGCATCCAGTTAAATAGTGTTTCCACTTATACAAAAACTTCCCTACAGTTTATGGCTGCTTTTCTATTTGCAAATGTTTTTGTTCACTAGCATTTGACAGCAGAGTGTATATTAAATGTAATACATTGTTACAGAGTAAATAACGCACCCCTATAACGACTAAGAGTGAGTTACAATATATCTTGTAGGATACGTCGGCAATGAGTTACAAGCAATCATTGAGATTAAGTTGGATAACCACTAAAGAAAGACATTTGACATTTCAACTGGAAACTTTGATGGTGCATAAACCTGTGAGCTTATTGCTATGAATTTACTACATGAAATAAGTAAAATAATTGATAAAAATGATATAAGCCACTACAGGAACAATGGTCTCATAATCTTAAGAAACTGTGAGGGACAAAAAAACAGACAAAATTAGAAAAATAATCATAAAAGTTTTTAAAAATATGAGATTTGACAGACATAAATATTAACCTAAAAGAAATAGATTTCCTAGATGTCAGCTCCAACTTAAGAAAAGGTACATATAAACCATACAGAAAATCCAATGAAAAACCATGGTATATACACAGATCTTGTAACTACCCACCATAAATAATCAAGTAGATACTACAATCAATTAACCGCAGGTTATCTGAAAATTCTTCCAGTGAAACCATCTTCAATGAAGCCCTAAAAGATAGTGGATTTTCAGCAACACTCACATACACACTACAAAACACAGAAAAAAAGCAACAGGAAAAGAAACATCATATGGTTCAAACAAACCCCACCCACCTGTACAACAAACATATAAAAAACAAACATAGGAAAAACATTCATTAAACTCAGAACAATGCAATATACCAAGCCATTGTAAAATCAGCTGATAACAAAGAAAAATAGACAAATAAGCAAAGAACCCTGGAAAAAGAAACTACACACAAAACAAACAAATAGGCAAACAGTATAATGCTTTCTAACCATATATGGGGAAATTAAAAAAACAAAACAAATCACACCAAAAATATGGAAAATCAGAAAAACAGCATCAGACTACAACAATAAATCCAAAAACTGTAATGGAGGAGAAAATAGCTATAATTATCTTCCCAGACAAAAACAAAATACTAAATAAATGATCAGAACTCATCTCAAAATTCAGACACAAAAATAAATTTTTACTTTGTTACATAAAAACTGAAAACTAAGAACAAATGAAAAAAAATAAATAAAAAATAAAATAAAATAAAAAATACATAAATAAAAATAAATAAGTAAAATAAAATAAATAAATAAAAGTAAAATAAAATAATCCAAATCAATAAATAAAAAGTAAATAAATAATAAACCATTGTTTATACAAATATAAACTCTAGTAAGCACAATAACAATCAACAACAAATAATAAAGTAATCAGTAATAAATAATGAGTGAGAAACATTAACAAACAACCTTACAAAATAGCCATAAAATGGCATTTGGATCAACAATTATTTCTATTCAATAGCCCCTAGAATAATTTGAAATATAACTGTTACCACCCATCCAATAACCATTAGAATACATTATACCTGTCCATAATGCACCATTGATCAGTATATAGAAATAGTCAAACCAAAGCACAACACACAAGGCCTCCAGATGTTCTACTCTAAAGCCAATATCAGAATGTGACATGATATAATATCATCAAAATATCTCATCAACCTTTCTATGGTCAAATTTCTTGCAAGATATCTGTTTAAATATTGATATAAACATTTAGCTATTATATTGAACCGATCAGTCAGTCGAGAAAGCATATTTTATCATCAATGAAACTCATTTTAAAAAGAAATGTCAGCACATCTATAGACATAGAGGTTCTGAAAAGTTCTTGGTTTGAGCAAAGGACTCTTTAAAAAGCATTATTTTTTGTCATTTGGTCAAATTGGTGAAAATGAGTGAAGCCAAGAGCTATTCCATTTGTAGCGAAGAAAATGGCAACCTACCTTGTCAAAACAAACAACAACATGTCATGTGTATACTACGTTGGAAAAGAAAAAAAGCATGGCACATGACTTGTTTATATATGAGAACGTCATGTAAATTTTTGGTTACACCTCAATTAATAACAAACTTCTCAACCTGGACATAAACAGTTGCAGCATATGACTGGGGAATATGGCTCTGAGTCATTACCTGGCAAAAAGGAGAATTTATTGAGATGAGCAGCTGAAAATACTACACCAATACCCACTAATAATAATCAAAATTTTTATTCTGTTTATACCCTCAAATTTGTCAAAACAGAACATTGTAGGTATCCATATATTTTTTTTAATCAAGATATCCTTAAAATGTCCTAACTTAAAGAATGTATTAATATAAGAAATTTAAGCTGTTTGAACATGTATCATCTGCTTTTCTGAGAGAAAACAGATACTGAATTTGAATTTCAGAAATATTTTTAGGTAAATTTTGATTTTTGGGAAAATAGCTGAGTTTGTTTTTCATTCAAAACCAATCAAAAGGTTTCCTTCCAAATTCCAAGAAGTGGACTTGGAGCCTATCTGACTGAATAAATTGGGAGCTTTAGATTGAATTCAAGGAGTCAACTAACATGAACCCAGGTTGCTCTGGTCCAGGAAGAAAAACAGTACAGAAGAAATTTGGAAACCACCAGACAAGAATTGAAAGGAACATCAAAGTCACTCCCACATCAAAGAAAATTCTTCAGCTGGTGTGATTGTTCTATTCTTTGCTGTTACAATGAACTTTGCTTCAAATATTGTACCTATCCTTTGAAAACTATTCAATGAAGTATTCTCTCCTTTCTTCATTTTAGCTTTATGTTGTTTACCTATTCTGAGGACCTTATGCTGCATTGCAAGTTTTATTGTAAAAGAGGCATATTTCATTTGCATTGATTATTTTTACATTTTTATTGGCCATCTTTTGACACACAAAACACATGTGTCATTTGTGTAATTCTTTCATTTTGTTTATCATGTTTTTTTTAAACTTGGCTCATGTCATTTGTTGCATGCCCTTATAAATTAAATGTTACCTCAAGCATTTGTTTGAACTATTTTTTGGAGGGATTTTTTACCAAATAAAAAGTCTTTTACTTAAAAAAATTCAAGGGATTTGTAAGGGATTTAATAACAATAGTTTTGGATCTGTATCCACATTCATTCTTATTCTCTATATTCCTCAACTATTCCAACATAATCATACAGCATTCAACCATGTTTATTTATTTGCAAATACAAAAAAGAAATGAACAGCCAAAGAAAAAAAAAATGAAAAAGAAACAATGTGGAGACAAAGAGAAAAGAAGAAATGACAAGAGGAAACAAAAGAAACTGAATAAAAGATGCAAATTAAAAAAAAAATGAAAGATGGACAATAAAAACATTTTAAATTAATCCAGTATTTGTCATGTTATTTATCTTTAATAAACACATTTTTCCTTAATTTCAAAAACAAAACTATAATACAATTCAGCAAAGTGAATGTTCATTCTGGTCACATCAAAATGCACTTACCTCTCTTTCAAAGAATGACCCAATGGGTCATGATGTTATCTTGTAAATAATAAAAACAAAAATCTAAATAAATTCTACAATCAGTTAAATGCATAGAAAATTTACAAATGTTGAATAAATTATACTTTCCTAAAAGCACTTCCTATACCAAAATGTTATGATACTTATGAGGAGACATGCATATGCAAATATTGACATACTTTCATTCCTTACTATTATATAGAGCCACTAAAAAGCAGTGTAAAATATTTCATCATGCAGGTGGTTGTCTCTTACCAAAGTATATCATCTTTGTCTCTTTTTTGCTACACATCTGAATAAATGTTCACCTATTATTGGTCAGTTTCTCTTTCTCTGCCTGTGGAAAACTAATTAACTTTGCATATTCATCACCTAAAATAACACATTAAAAACAATTCAGATATATTTTTTTGTAATTTTTGGGCAGTAAATGATCCATAGTTGGATCCACCTCCAATTCTTATTTTGTATTTTTATTAAAATAACATTCAGAACATTCAATGACAAACAAAAACTAAGTTAGTCTGTTGAACACCCAATGAATAAAACATTGCATTAATCTAACAGTTACCTTAATCATCTAATAAGTGTGTCTATGCATCATCTGCATTAGCTACAGTTAACCTTAAAATTATGTAAATACTTACGACACATGCTGATACTCAATACACATTCTCCATTTTTACATTGTTGTTTTCCAATGTGTACACATGTTTGTTCTCTTGTTGGCTTCATAGTATATGCCATAGGAGAAGATTTATTTTCAAACCCTTCCCTTCTTTCAGAGTCCAAATTTAATTTAACTGAAAAATAAAAATAAAATAAAAAACAAATAACTTCATCAGCACACCACCATTTGAATAGTTACTTGTTTTTATAAACAGTATTCCCTCAAGGAATTGAATACTTATTTTACTAAATTGCTGTAAAGTTAAACCTGATGGTTCATGACATATTGTTCTTGACCATAAAGAAAAGGCTTTTGATAACTTTTGATGTCCATATATCTTTATTTAGAATAATACAATACCAATGTTTAAGTGTCAACTCGGATGCATATATCAACTTTAGATATATAGGGAAAGCTCCATGATAAATATGACACATATGAACCTGAAACATAAAAATCATGTAGCAAAGGTCACATAAAAAAAAGACAAAAAATGCAAAGAAGCTATGAGCTGTAGTAACTATATTAAAACACAATGCCTACATCATAAGTGCAAATATATTCATCAATTCAGTGGGGGTTTGGTTGAATAGAGGAGTACCGATTGGGATTCATTTAACAATTTTCTTCTCAATTCCTCTTAGAGCAAAATCTGCCTATCAAAAGTTGTGACTCCAAAATTTCTTCTTTGGTGAAAGCCCACATAGAAGTTTTTGTGTTATCTTGTAAATAAAAACCACAACCCTCTCCTTGGTTTATACCTGCCTGCTCAGCTATGACAGCCAACCAGAATAACATTTTCGGGCTATACTAATGTGATAGCTCTGATCACAACAGACGCCACTTTGAGTTCACTCAAAATAAACTTTTATGGCTTTGTTTGTTGATAGAGTGGGGCACCATATAGCCTCTTACAAGTTTGGGTTTTGTGACTACTAGCAGCTCTATAATAAATTGTTAAATGAGGGTAACCCTTCCTCTTTTCAATCATTTTGAAGTGCTATTATCTCTTGTCGATAAAACAGAATTCTTTGCTTGAAAATTCTCTTCCAATTCTATTCTCAACTTATCAGGAGTACTTTTGCTTGACTTTTCCACTTAGAACTGAGTCTTCACTGTTAATATAAATATAACTCCATTATCATCTCCAAACTTGATCTCCATGAAGCATATGGACTCAATCATATCCCTATAATAAACCTTAAGAAATGTGCCCTTGATTATTTTTTAATTTTTTATTCTAAAATCTTCTAAAATCCTCCTCACTCATTCCAACTGAATGATAAGTATCACATTTGCAATATACTTTTTGATTTTACTGATAGTAAGATGTATATTTCCCAGCAATGTTTTTTTTCCTATTATTTATGAATGGAAGTGGAAATTTTTTTTCCATTTTCTGTGAAAAAATGGTAATTCAAAAAAAGAATTTGACTAGGAATCAGGTCACTGAGAGATGATAATGATTGTAACAAACCACAATTATCTGATCCAAAAGTTAAGTAAGTACTGACTATTATTCAAATATACACTATTTTATAATGAAAGTCATTTAAAGATTCATTGGAAAACATAATTATTCCTTTGCATTGTATATTATAGAAAAACATCCTTTATTAATGCACCTATGATCCCAGTTAAATTGTTTCATAGTTATTAAAACAGAAAAAAAATTGATAATCTAAAATCCATGGATTAATGGATAAGGAAAACATTAAATCACCATTAATTATAACTACTTGAATTGTTTACTGATTATTACTTGGATGAGCTGCTAAATGATAACTAGACAAATTTGTTAAAACAAGTTTCAGAGTATGCAGATTCCACCATGACTACAAAAGCAACTATGGTTCTTATAGAAATTCAAGTTTAAAAATGAAAGTCTTTTGGAGTTAGCAACCTGAGTTAGTGGCAAAAACCATCTTATAAAGATGTCATTCATACAGGAGTTGAGCATTCAAAAACTGGTAAAGTACTTTATAAAGGCAATACGAAACATACACTGTGGCACTCTTCTCCTGACCAGAAGCTTGTGAAAAGGCTAAGACACATAGTTCCATTCTTATGATCTCAAAATCCTAAACAGAGATTTCAATACAGAATCAAGAGTAGTTCAAAAAACTGGTTGTTGGAGCTGAGCTGTGAAAAGATGGCGGCATCGATAAAACAAAACTAAAACTGTCCTTGAGAAAGCAAGTTTTCATAATCCAACCAGTAGCAGCTTCTCAAATCAGTAGAATGGAAGTGGAACAGGCAGAATTAGATAGCCTCAGAATAGAAGTTTACTTTAAGGTAGTGTTATAAAAACATGAATGGAAATGGAAGAAAATATAATAATTCAGAAGTATCACAGTGGATTCAGTTTTAGAAGGAAATGGTGTATCTGATATCCAACAAATATTTGTAAATTTCATGAATTATTCAATGAGCATAATCCCAATACATTATGTGAAAAATTGAAGGGAAAATTCCATTTGAAAATCAATTTTCATATCTGCAAATTTTGAAAAAGTCAGTTATGTTTTGCATATCTCTCTGCATAGTAGTAGTTGTAGTACATTTCTCCATGTCCTGAATAGCAACCGGGTTCGCTATGTATAGCCCCCATGTTCACCAGTTGTTCTCTATCTATACTTGTCTATCTAATTTGCATAACCTCCCTGAATCGGCGAGGTTGTATAGCCTTGTTTTTTCTTTTATATTTTCATATTGTGTCCTGCCTCTTGTCTTTCTTGTTTTCTCTTTAATGGTGATCTCGTCTCTCTTCATTTTCTTCATACACATCTGTGTTTTCATTCTCACTTTCTTCCATTTTCTGCTCTGTTCCACTTTTGTAACTTTCTGTCTCTTCCATTTCATCCAGTTCATTTCTGCTTCTGAACTGATCTGCATCTGCCAGTATATGGTGTCCCTTTTTCTCAAATAAACTCTTTATTCTTTCTATACCATACCTTTTCTTTCATTGCAAAGGACATAGTTATGGTGGTTCTGATTTGTCTCCCTATTAATGCCAAAGGGCTCAGTTTTCTTTGTGCATATGGAATGGATCTTCAACTGAGGAGCATTTTTGGTAGATACACTTCTGTGATTTCAGTAAGTGGTGAGAATGCTTTTAGTCCCATTTTTACCGTTTGTACCATTCTTTCCATAATGCCATTAGATTGAGATATGGTGGTGTCTTGTATAGGATACATCCAATCTGTTTTAACCACACACGAGTTCTCATTGGAAAATTTGGGTGCATTGTCGGTGACTATTGTCTGGGGGTACTCCATTCCTTGAGAATATAGTTCTGAGTACTTTCTTTATTGTGGTGGCTTTTCTTTACTCTGACATCCTGAATATGAGTCCACCAATACTAAGAACAATCCCCTATCTTTGATATGTGCATGATCCTAACCCATGGCTCTGCTTCCTTGGGTTATGAGTGAATTTTTGCTTGCTTGAAGGTTTTTTTGTTTTTTTTCTGAACATTTTGGACATCTCAACGTATTCCTCTACATCTTTTGAATATCCTGGCCACCAGGCTTGTAACTTTAGTCTTCTTTGTGTTGCTGTTATGCAACAATGCACATCATCATGTACTCCTTTTAATACGTCCCTTCTCAGTATTTGTGAAGCTACTATTATGTTCCGATTGCATATTATGCCATTTTTTATGGTTGGTTTATGCTTTGTTTCTTTAAAGGATCACTCTGCCATCAAACAATTGCTCCATATATTATTTTTTATTCTCTCTACTATTCTGCTTAATATTGGGTTTTGCTTTGTTTCTATTTTGAATCTATTTAGAGGAAGTGTTTATTTTATCTTCAGTATTTTCCTGTTTTTCTTGTTTCATTCTTGAACTGTAATCTTGATAAAGCATTTACATGAGGGATAGTGTTCCCTTTTACATATACTATGTCAAAATTGAATGCCATGATTTTCATTGCCCATCATAAAATTCTTGGTGTGACTTTTGACAATTCTTTTCTTAGGTTAAATATAAATTCTAATGGTTTGTGGTTCAATTTTAACAAGAATCTTTTCCTATTAAAAAGTTTTGTGCTCTTTCCATGCTCCATACAATTGCTAGTGGTTATTTTTCAATATTCAAGTAGTTAGTTTCTACTGATGTTAACCTTCTTGAGATATACATGATTGGGTGTTCTTGTGATAGAATAGCAGCAATTGCCTTTTCACTTGCATCTGTGGTTAACGTTACTTCTTTTTGTGGATTAAAAACTTATTGGTTTGTTCCTTAGTATTTTCTTTAGTATTTCAAAAGCAATAGTTTGCGTTTTGTGTCCATTCATTATTTTTGTGTAATTTTGCATATATTGCTGTATCTTGGTATGTATTTACTATAAAAAGTTATTAGCCCCAAAAGGGATTCTAATTCTTTTTTATTTGTTGGAACAGCTATTTCTGTTATTTCCTTTGTTAGTCTATCGTCAGGTGATATTCTATTTACCATATCAAAAAAGGCATATCTTCTTACAGTCAAAACTACACTTGTCTTTGTTTACAGTCATACTTTCCTTTTTAAATCTCACTAAAATTTGCTCTGTTTTATATTTGAATTCTTCTTTAGTTCTTGACCCTACACATATATCATCCTGGTATATTATTATAATTTTTATTTTTCCTAATAAGACTCTTTCAATTACTTTTTGAAAAATATGGCTTGATGTCTTTACCCCAAATGGTAAACGAGTCCATCTCAGTAAGCCTATAGGGATGTTTTTCATGGTGATTTTGAATTTCTTGTCAATTTCTATTTGGCTGTATGCAGTCTTGAGATCAATTTTTGCAAAGTGTTCCATTTTTTCTAACTTGTGGCTTACAGTTGATATTTTGAAAAGGAAAAGAGTCTGAACACATCTGGTAATTTATCCCTATCTTATAATCACCACAAATCCTTAAATCTGTCAGGTTTCTTTATTGCTACTATCAGTGATGCCCAATTGCTACCACCTTGAGTTAATATCATTTTGTTTAATTTGGCTACTACCAAAAGTAGAATATTTCAATAATCCTATTTCATTTTCTTCTGCTTCTATGGAATTGATTAGTCTCGCTGTATCTACTTTTAATGCATCAACTCCAAGTATTTGTGGTTTTAGTTTTGTAAGCCTTCAATTATTC